GGGTCACTATTGTATATAGAAGGTGAAAAGGGGACTTAGATTCTTTTCCTTTGCTGGAGGAAGCAAAGTTACCTAGACCTGGAAGATAGGTCTTCAATGCAGTCTTAATCCATCTGTGCTGCTGTAACAAAACACTGGGTGGCTTAAATAACAAACATTTAGTTCTCACCGTTCTGGAGGTGGAAGTCCAAGAACAGGACACCAGAAGGGGCTCTATTAAGTGAGACAGTCTAGCCAAGCACTTTGTGTAACATCTGACATAKTATATGCCTTATAAAGTAATTCAGTAAGAGATGTTATGGAAAAATTTTAGCCATTCTCATGTGTTCAATGCTGTGACCCTCCCCCTGCTGATTCAGGGGTAAGATTTCAGCTTACTGATGTGGACATCATTGGGATTCCCCACCACCACCTATTTTTTTTTCATAAACAATTTATTCCGTAATTCTCAGAATACATAGTACTTACAGATAGTTTTTAATATGGAAATTTACTCTGTGTCTTTTTATATAATCTGAGTAAACACAGGAAATAAGGAATATCTTTTCCATACTCTTAAACATATTGATAGATGGAAAAATTATCATTAGGGTCCCATTTAGCTTTCAGCATGAAAGTAGATGTGATGTGTGTATGCATATATACATATACTTTCATATAACATATGTGATATATATATCAGTTTTTCATCACTGTGATTAAAATACCCAAAAAGAAACACTTAGAAGAGAAATGTTCATTGTTCCTCATGGCTTCTCAGGTTCAGTCTATGGTCAGCCAACTCCATTGCTCTGMGCCTGAGGTGAGACAGAAAGTCATAGCTAAAGGATAGGGTGAAGGCAGGCAGCATACTTCATGGTGGCCGGGAAACAGAAATACAGGGAGAGAGGAGCGAGGGGACAAGACACACTCCCCAAGAGCATGTCCCAGCAACCGACCCCCTTTAGCCATCCCACCTTTCTATGATTATCACTCAGTCCATTCAAACTAGGATGCACTGATTAGGTTACAGTCTCATAGTCTATCAGTTCACCTCTTAACTTATCCACCTTAGCATAGAAACTTTTGGGGGATATCTCATATTSAAGCCATGGTATTTCATCCTTGACCCCTCAAAGCATCTCACAATGTAAAATGCATTTAATTTATAGTCAAGAGCCTTTACAGTCATCACAGTCCAGCATGGCCTCAAAATCAAGTCCTAAGTCTCATCTGAGACTCACAGCCAACTCTTGACTATGATCCTGCAAAAATAAAAAAAACTAGATACATATGTACAATATACAGTGTTGCAGAGCAAGCATTCCCTTTTCAAAAGGGAGAAATAGGGTCATAGAAAGAAGGGATGGAAACAAAACAAGATCAAAACCTCACTGGGCAAACAAGTATCATAAATTTATAACATCTAGAATACATGGACGTGAGATGAGTTCTCTAAAGGGATTGGGCAGTCCTTTGACTTTGGCCTTGCTAGTTGCAGTGTACGAGGAAAAGGAGTGGCAGAGAGATTAAGTAATATAAGCGAGTACACTCAAAGCCAGAATTTGAATCCAGGTCTTAATCCCAGAGCTTGCTCTTTGGCTTTCCTTTATTAATTTTTAAAATTTATAAAAGTAGTTGAGTGAAATTGTGAAGAAAGGAAAATAAACTCCTGCTAGTTTTGTGGATGTACCTACCGCAAGCTATAAAACTTATAGCCACAGTACATAATAAAAGTGCTTAGTTAAGATGGAAAAGGCACGAAATAATAGGGCTGGATACCATGGGAGGTTTCCGGCATCCATAGAGGGTCTTGGAACATATCTCCTGAGAATAAGGGTGGGGGAATGCTGTAACTGGTTTCTTTCTCCCTGTGCCATTACATCATGGATACTCCAATAGGTCAAAAGCTATAGATGTCTCTTAAAAATGATTGCACAAACTTACATAGTATTCCATAGTACACACAAAATTTTCAGTAATTTCCATATTTATAGACATTATGTGTTTTCAGTTTTGTTTAGTTGGCCCCTACCAGCAAACTTGCAAAACCATTTTTTTTTGTGTGTGTGTGTGTGTCCTCCTATCCCAAGAAGTAAGATTGTAAGGCTAGAATTTGTACTTTTTAAAAAATTGCCAATTACTTTCCCAATAAGTTTGAAGCAATTTGTATTCCAATCAGCACTGTAAAAGGGTGTCTATTTCCCTATACAGCATCATCAATGACTAGATGGTCTTGGGGGCCCCTGCAGCCTGGTTTGTTGCAGAGGGGGGCACCCTAGGCTCCCCAGCTAGACACAGAATTGAGCTGTCAGAAATTTGCCCTCACAGATTGGCATTCCTCAAATCTCAGCACCACATTCAAATCTTTGGGGGCTAGGGAGGGTGGCTTCTAAAACCCAGGGATGCCATCCCCAGTCTYACCTAGTTAGTCAAAGAAGCATGTGTTTTCAAAAGTTCCCTAGGGGTGGATTTTGAATGGCCTGCTGAGGTGGAGACTGCTGCTGGAGCCCATGCAGACACCAGGGCCTGACTTCCCACTCCTTGCCCTTCTCTCGCTGTCCTGCCCCCTCCATCCTTGAGCATCTCCTATCCTTAGTTGGAAGCTTCAGGAATTCTCCTTTAGCCAACAGCCCCTCCTTCTCCTTCTGGGCCTACAGAAACCCACCGGTTGTAAGGGTTTACTTTTAATTTCCATGCCCAAACCTCATTACCTAATTGGAAACTCAGGAGGTCAGGCCTGGGCCTCAGCATTTTATGCATGCCACCAAGAGCAGGCAGGGGCAGAGCACTGCCCTGTTTCTTTCCACAGCTGGAGACTCCTCTGACTTCTTAAGGCCCCCTGATTACAACTGGTCAAAGCCTATTTCCATTGTGGGAAGGTCAGCAGACTTTCGAGAAGCCAATGATCTGGTGTCTGTGCATCCCATATGGCTCTGTGCACTGAAGAGGAGAGGTGAAAGCCAACCTCCAGATCAGCCACCAAGTCACCAAGGGCGGCTTGTACCTGTTAAGGAATGTGAATGATAAAGCTAGCTTTGCAGACAGCCTCAAGCCTTGCTGTACATAAGACTCATCTAGAGGAAGTTTTAAAAATCCTGATGCCTAGAATTTATCTCTAACAGATTAAGTCAGAATATCTGGACATGGGACTCAGCATTAGTATTTTTTAAAACTCCCCAAGCAATCACAGTGTGCAGCCAAATTGGAAAGACAGTGCCCCAAAGAGCACTTTACAAATGTTAGAACTGCACTTTTAATAGTTCTGTGGACCTGGCAATGATAATGGCCAGTTACTGATTTCCTATTAGCACAAGTTCCTTGACCTGCGTGGTTGACTCTTTTAAGTATCCCCACCTGGTTCTTGAACTAAGAGTTTCTGAAACAATTTGTTTCCTAAAAGATGAAAGTTCATCCTTTTTCACAAGGCAAAAATATTCCTAGTATTTTTAAGCAGAGGGACTATTTCCGGGTTCTGTAGGGGTCTAGTAGTCCTACCACCAGCCACCAGCTGGATCAGCAGAGKGTGGATATTTAGGCAGAACGAGGGAAGCTCCTGCATGCCCTTCCGCTCAGTGCACCGAGTCGCTGCTTCCTAAGTAGGCTTTCCTCATTGGTCTCTGGTGCAGTCTAAGTCAAGGTGAGTGAAGGATGGCAGTGAAAGCAGTGCTGCCCAGGCCATCGATGAGGCCAGCTTAATGAGCTGCACTGTGTCCACGGTCTGTATGCCTCTCAGGGTGAACCTGAAGTAAAATGAGGGCTTAGATGGCTACTCAGAAGGCAGCCACATGGGTTACACCTACAGTGCCCACTGTGGGTGCCAAGGGCAGGGTGGCAGGTGAAAGGGTGGCTGGTATGTGTCCTTATGAGGTGAGGAAACTGGTATCCCCTACACAGCAGGACACTGCTGAGACTCCCAAGTGAGTCCTGGTCTTCAAAGAAGAGTGCATACCTGTCACTTCTCTCTTAAAAGCAGCAGCTGGGTCAGAAGGTGTTTATCAAGGGCGTGTGGCTCTGAAGGATCCTAAAGGCTCTCACAGCTAGCAGGGGACTTTCTGCAAGGGTTAAAGTCAGTAGTAGATAATATGATGCAGGATTATTCACATTTGTATCCCCTGGGGATGCTTTATAACTCAGGGATCCAGATGCAAGGTCCCACCCCCACAGAGTCTCTCTCAACTTTTTCTTTTGAAAAATATCAAGTGCAAGGGAATGTTGAAAGAATAGAATAATGAACACCGATAGAGCTTTACTAAAATTCATCACTTTTATCAGCACGCTGTTTGCTTTATCAGCTTCCCAGCCCAATATATGTTGGACCATATATAATTGTACACGTCATGGATCTTCATCCTTAAATACATACTCACTCAACCACAAGACCATTATTACACCCAAGAACTGGTTATAATGATGATAACTTATTGTACTTCATATTCACATTTTTCTTCTTTTTCCAATAATATTTCTTATAGTTTTTTTTTTTTTTAAATTCAGGGCCTAATCAAGGATCATACATTGCATGTAGATGTCATGTTTCCCAGAGTCTCCTTTAATCTAGAACAGTCTGTCCAATCTTTTAAAATGACATTGACCTTTTTGAAGAGTCCCTGAATGTGGATAGATTTCAAAAGTTCCCCAGATATTTCCAGGGTGCAGTAGGGTTGAGAAGCACTTCAATAGAGGACTGTGTATTTTGTTTACCCCATATAAATATTTTTATGTAAAAATAAGCATACAGGATGCTGGCCCGGGGGCTGCCTCTCCCAGCTTCCCTGATGCTTCCACTCTTTGGAAGAGCCCCAGTTTGCATGAGACTTCCATGTATGGCCCTGGCCCCCCATCATATTTGTTATTAATTATTCACAGTCACAAGCCACTCTGATCCCTACTTTTCCTAGTAAGTCCATTCCCTTAGGTCTCTGACAAAGCAGCATGTGGTGGAGCAAACCTTTTACCTCATGACCCAGGAAGCAAAAAAAGGAAGAAGAAGAGACCAGGGCCCCCAAATCCCCTTTGAGGGCCTTCCCCCAGTGGCCTAAGCCCTGCCTCCTAAAGGTTCCCCCACCTCCCAGAAGCATCACCCTGACAAGTAAGCCTTTACCATATGGACCTTTGGGGACACTATCCATATTCAAACCATGGCAGTTCCCATAGCATCATCTGCATTTTAACAAGATCTTCAGATGCACATTATTTTGAACATCATGGCCAATGAGTAACAGGGGTCCTGGACATCCCCTAGAATATTGCTGTTCCAGTGATCCATGAGCCAGCAACTTTGGCATCACCCGAGAGCTTTTATAAATGCAGAATCTCCTGCACCACCCAAATCTATGGGGTCATATATCTGCATTTTAACACGATCTTTATATGCCCATTATTTTGAGCGTCATGGCCAGCAAGAACCCTGGCTGCCAAATACAGAGCTGGTGAACTGTACCTGCTCCTCAGGACCACCTATTGTATACAGCAGTGTAGGAAGGCACAGAAGGGAATGTTCTGCCCTTATTGTTATCCTGTCTTTATTGACCTGTTTTTCCTCTCTGCTGTGGAACCCCAGGCACTGCTAGAGACCATCCCTGTCCTCAAGAATTCCCATCCTCTAACTACAGGATCCTTCCCCATTCAACTGTCCCCTGACTTACCTATTCCAGATCATCCTGCCTCCATGAGCTACCCTTGACTTCCCTTACTTTCCTTAAATTTCCCAACAGTTCTATTTCCCTCCAATCCCTTCTTTCTCATCCACTTATACCCGCATCTCTCTAAACCTTCTTTCCTTTCTCAAGGCACTTCTGAGCCCATTCTTATGCTAATCTGTGATTCAGTGTCCTTCTAACTCACACTGGAGCATATCTAAACCCACGCCCTCTCTTCCGAGGACCTTTTCTCTCTCAGCTCTTTTTCTCCCATCTTCAAATACATCTTATTTTCCTTGTTCTAAAAACATTTCATTGACCTTGGTAACCCTTCACGCTACCAACCCACACACTTCTTTCATAGATTGCCGAATTCTGGAAAGAGTCATTTGCACTTCTTGCCTGCTCTTCCTCACTCCTACTCATCTCAGAATCTCTAGCAATCTAGCAGATGTTCCTTTCATTCTGGTGAAACTGATATTTTGAAGGTCACCAATGACGTCCCAATTACCATATCCAATAGACCGACTTCTTTGTTGGATTCCTCTCTGACCTCTCGGTAATATGACACTTGCACCTAGTTCTTTTTGGTTTCCTGGGTGTGACAGTATCATAGTTTTCCTGTGATTTGTGCACATTCATCTCTGTCACTTTTTCATCTCCTTCTCTTCCTTTACACCCCAAATGCAGGTAGATGTAGGCATCAGTTTTACCCTTGACCTTGTTTTCTTCTTGTTTCATACTAAGAGTTTCAAGTGATGGCCTGTGGGTCAGATACAGTCTTCAAATTTGTTTTGTTTGACCTATTTAGTATTTTAAGAATCTGAAAAACCTACACACACATACACACACACACACACACACACACACACACAAATCTGGATTTCAAGCTTCTTTTGAGAAAAAAATGCACAGGATCTGGCAATAGTGAATTCATATTCTTCAAGACAGCAATTAGCTGAAGCTGGGTAGTTGATGATCCATTGGATGGCACGTTTGTCCTTCAGATCACCTCCTCTCCTTCCACTCTTGGTCTGTCTAGCGCCATGTGGGTTTGTAAGTAAGACTCTGATCTCTCCAGAGTGTGCCTCCTCCAACACAGGAGATTGAGTCATCATTCCTTTTCTGTAGCCCCCAGACCCATTCTTCATATCTTTCGATCTCTTTATAATTCCAGGCAACAGAATCAACCCTATTGCACACTGGAAATATCAAGGGGGAACTTTTGAAATCTATCCACAGTCAGGGACTCCTCAAAAAGTTCAATGTCATTTTAAAATGACTTTGGAATTGTAAAGAGATAGAAGGTTTTTAACCATTGATTGGGAATCTTCCTCTGTCTACTCCTTATGCCTCAAACTCACTATTGGGGGTAAGGAGGGCTAATGAATCACACTTATCCATCAGTCTGAGTTTTAAACCAATCTAGGATAGACAGTAGAGTCCAGATGAGGTTTTAAAATACAATGTCACATCCAGCCTGCTACATGAAAGGGATGGTGGCACCCTGCACCTTCAGGTACGGGAAAGAGAAAGAGTGAATATCAGAAAGGCGTGGGCTCCGAGCTGGTGTTGCCGAGGAGGCAGGCTCTGCACCCTGGGCACAGGAGCCTGTTGCCTGCTTGTAGGAATCAGAAAGAGAATCTATGCAGCCTTGGGCATTCAGGTCCCAGGCAACAGGGTTCCTCCCTATTACTCCCCMAACACGTCAGTGGATATTCCTGTATTGTGGGTTGAAGTAGGGATAATGAGAGAGGAAAAGAGGGTCCTGGGTTCTCCCCAAATTCAATCTGCCATAAACTCATCATTGCTTTAAAGCTGCTTTTTCACGCAGTGTGGTGAATTGAGACACCAACTTCCCAACACCACATGTGTTGCTGCTGGGTGGATTTCATCTTCCCAGTTCTCCATGAATCAGTCCTTCTCCTCAAGGCCACTGATGGAATAGCTTTGACTCTCATTTCTTTTGCTGGGACTATCACAATGAATTCCTAGTTTCTCTTTCCCTCTTTTTCTTTGTCTCTTTGTGTTTGTTGGTTTGTTTTTGTTTTGGGGTTTTTTTTKGGGGGGGGGGTCTTGGGTCGATTCCTTAGTCCTCTTTCCCATTCACCCTGCCCATTGCTGTTGGAATTATGATTTCCTTACCCTGAAGTCTCTGGATCCCAGTTTTAGAGAATGAATGACCAATAAAGGCTAAAGCATTGCTTCTAAGGCCTTCTGTGGTATCCTCTGAATCTATCTTTTAGCCTTACTGACATCTGCTTCCTTTTGAACACTCATCTGCTTACCCAACATTTACTGAGTACCTACTATGTCACAGATTGTGCCAAGAGCACCATAGAGATACATAAGACACAGACTCTGCTTTGTGATTTCTTGTTCTATTTTATCACCTGGAATGTGTTCTCTTGGCTAAAATGCTATCTTTCAGTTTAACCCAGTTGCCTTCTCTTCACAAAGCCTTCTCTATTCCACTAAACAAGATATAACCTCTGCCTTCCCTTTCCCCTCCACCTCCTTGTGTGACAATGCCTTGTTTTTCCCAAATGATCTGCCTTATCTGGCTACGTCTCCTTCACCCTTGAGCACTTGTGCAAACCTTTCACGCATGAGGCACTCTAGAGGTGAGTGTCTATGAATCTGCATCTTCTCTGAAGTAGAAAATGGAACCAACCCAGGGAAAAAAATGCTTTAGAACACAAATAAATTAAGCACCATCCTAGGTATTACTAAATATAGCTGTACAGAGACAAATATGTCATGATTAATTAGCAACACATTTGTGAGCCACCTACAATCCATTCTGAAACACAGCAGTATTTGAAAATTTTAAATAATGTTTCTTCATCTCTTCCTTTTTCATTCCTGCTACAGCCCTCATAAGTTTTTTTTTTAATCTTTGTACTCTTAAGATCCAGAGGTTTCCTTATTGGTTTCTCTCAAACCAGATGCCAACCTTGGTTAATCCATTTATCACACTTCTACTGAATTATTTCTGCTAAGACTGTGGTGTGTGTGTTTCTCCCATGCATAGAGGCCTGTGATGACTCCTCACTGCCTCAATTCTCCCAGTTGATCTTCATGACCCTCCCCTGGGACCTCTCCCAGGCTGCAGTCCTGCTCCTCACCTGCTAGAAACTGGGCCAGCCAGGCAACAGCCCCTCCATGTGGGGGCTCTACTTTCTCTAGATGATAAAGTCTTGCTAAAGCTTCCCCCCAACTTGCACAACATCTTCAATGACCATTTCAGGGAGGAGTAAATCCTTCATTTAAAAAACCTGGATGCCTGTGTACAACATTTAAAATACAGATCCTTGCTATCTGTGGTGGTGCACACCTGTAATCCCAGCGACTTGGGAGGCAAAAGCAGGAGGATCAGAAGTTCGAGGCCAGTCTTGGCAATAAGACCCTAAGTAAAGGAGTGAGACCCTGTCTCAAAATAAAAAATAAAATGGGCTGGAGATATAGCTCAGTGATGAAGCACCCCTGGGTTCAATCCCAGTACCAAATAAATAAATAAATAAATAAATAAAATAAAATAAAATACAGATCCCCACACCCCACCCTCTTGAGATCTAGTGAAACTTGGAAGTCTGCATTTTATGATGATCTACCAAAGAATTCTGATGTGAAAGAGTTTGGGGAACCAGTGAATCTTGGGACCCTATAACCACAAGATGTGGTCTCATGATGCTGTGTGTGTATATCTTCCCCATCTCTCCTTCTGAGCTGTATTCTTCCTAAAAGCAGGACTGTGTCATTAACTCATCTCTCTTTTGGATTACCTGGCAGGATATCTCACTCATGGTAATATGATAAGTTAGTGAGTAGGTGTTTGTAGAATGAATGAATGAATGAATGAATGAATGGTAGAAGGAACTTATAATGAAGCTAGGAGTTGAGAGTAAATGCACATAGGAAGCGAAGCTTTTAATTTCAATATTTTGTGCAAAATGCAGGTGATAATCAGACCTCTGGGGAGTCACTTTGAGAGTTTTTACTTTCAGGGTCAAAATATTCCTCCCAGATTGAATTATTTCCAGTTTGGGAAAATGCTCATCTTTATAAGAATTTTCAATATGTACCTTATTATTTGGTTGTTTCATTCTGGCTCTCTGATGATCAACTGGGTGTTTTTAAAATAGAACATTTCAGCTCTTGCAGAAACTGGTCCCTGAGGTTGCTCTGGCAACCACCTTGAAAACTCTGGAGAGCTTTATCCTAAGTTTCCAAACTTCTCAGGTCTTCTGGCTGGCATAGCATTTTCTACAGTGCCTTGATTGAAAGGTTAATTAATTAGTTAGCCAAATCACCTAAAAGTATTTTTTAAAAAATCCCAGCATGTTTAGTACCCTGGTGCATATGTATTTCTTGACTCTACTGTTTTTACA